TAGTCGAGGATTTTTGTGAAAGTTTCGATTTTCTCTCGTCTCCTTAACGTTTAGAGTAAGAGGCTATTAACGTCTATCTGGCGTATCCAACGTTGTAAATTAATTTAAATGGCGATTCGCTTTATTGGGGGTTTAATTACCGCCATTTCGAGTCGGTTTGGTTGTTGGAGATGCGTTTAAAGTTATTTCAGTGGAGGAAAAACGAGGATAATCTTGTAGAATGACACACGAATTTGTAAGTCATCCTCCTCCTCCTCTTCTTATTATGATGCTTGTAAATAATAATGCGTTTGCGGATTCCGGAGTGGGTTCGGTTTCTTAATTAGGTGGCATGCCTACTGAAAAACAGCTTAGGAAGTCGTTTAGGTACAAGAAAAATCGATGGAGATTGTTCTGACACTCGACAGTTAATGGTGCCTGCTGGGAAAACGTCTTTTCTTCTATGCGCGGGGAGTTGGAATTTAAAACAAAAAAAATACTGCATTGGTTATTATTACGAATAGGCTTTTCGTAAGGATAATCTCTATGATGGAGGGATGAGGAAGCGCAAGTAGACGAAACACGATCTCCCACGGGGGAACGTATTAACTGGGAGTTAGATAGAACCGGGAGTAAGAGTAAAGTCACTTAGCTACTCTTCTCACATCCGTAGTATTGACGGCTGTCTAAAAGCAGTCGTTGTTTTTTTTTAAAACCATTAAACACTCCGCCACTTAGGGATCTGGAGAGAGAGTGGAGGTGACGTCACGTGACACGGGCCTTTATCTGGCGCGCGCGAGTGGTTTTTACCTCCGGAGACAATTTAGTAAAGTGAGTCGTCGTCTTGCCTCTCCCCCTCTTCGTTTCGTACACGAACGTCAAATGACGTTAGATGAAACTAAACAGTGCGGGTTATCTGGTGTGTTACCTATCTATCTACGACTACCGTGTGTTTTTCTTTTTTTTTTTAAATAAATATATAAGTTTTGCTCTTTATTGAGGTAGTTTTCGTGGCATTACGTATCGTTTACATCATTATTTTATAGCGTATTAGGGCGAGGAGGTGGACAAGTTTGAAAAGTTTCGAAATGTCGTGCAAACGGAAAATTTGCTTTGTTACGGGGATAATGACGTTTTGGGTTTCCTCTTCCTTTCGTATTACGCTTGCAAACTGGTGAAATTCTGTCGGAGCAACGTTTACATTTTAATCGGAGTCTTATAAATACGAACATTCCGTGCCTGTTTGCTATTATTGTGCCAGAACACGGCACGCATGTTGATGGGACCACATGAGCAACCCGAAACCGCGTAGACTACGAAAAAAAAACTACAGAATGGAAGGGGAAGAGGGGGAAACTAGCTAAAAGCTTCGAGTTTCCACCCCGCAAGATAAAGGGAAAAAAAACTTAATAATAAATATTTGGACCATTAAGAATTTATATCTAAAAATAAATTCCCGTGGAGCAATTAGGTTTGCCATCATTAAGATAAACTCGAGGCACCACGGTGCTTATCACGACAAGTTTGCTCCCGTTTGGAAACTACCAAATTCGAGTCGGAACTAGTTAAAGGCACGTAAGAACTGTTTTAAAAAAAGAAGAAATGGGTGGAAAAATCTTTAAGACACCATTTCCTAGTGGCCAGCGCTCGAACAGAAATGGCAGCACGACAACAAAACCGGTCAATAAACATGAATATTTGAGCATAATTTTAACGTCACGATAAAGAACGTGAGTCACGAATTCGGATTGATTCGCGTGTTACGCACCCACATCGTCATCCTTCGACAGAATTCGATATTTCGGATCCACTTCGGGCACCGAAAATGGCACAGATTTAAATGGCGTCACGCTCGCCGAGAGGAGCAGGATGATTTTTTTTTTTGTATTTATATATTAATAATATTCGGATGATGAAGAGGAATTGATTTTAATGAAGTTTAAACGGCGGGAAGAAGTGGAATTGCTAGTGTCTGTACACGTTTAGGAAGGTCAAAAACTTATCTGGAGAATTTTCTTTTAACGATACGGCACGCTGATTTTATTACCAATTAAACAAACGTGATGCGATTATAAATTTATATCAAATTCATCAAATATAAAACGTCTGTTAGTCTGCAGTAAGCTTTAATCTCTTCTAGAATTTTTTCTCCTCCCTCCTATATACAAAACCTGTCATATAATTCGTCTCGCTGCCAAACTTGGTGAGGGTTGTTTGTCAAGAGTTTTTATTAAGTTGGTGTTATTTAGAGAGGAGATGGCTTCTATGTAATACATTTTTTTTAAGGAAAAAAAGAAAAATCCTATCAATTTCCTGTCGAATGTGTTTCTAGATTTCCTGCCAACAGATAACCTTACCCTAATCCTTTTACGATCGATACTTTTCTATAGAGTCTAGAAAGGATTTTACCGTTTATCAATGTGTCACGCCTGACGCAATCCCGACACTACGATATAGAAAGGTTGTATAGGGAGGAAAAAAACACTAAAACAAAAAAAACCCTTGTCTTCTAGGGGGTTACATACGCTGTAGAGTGAAGTGTACATTTGTCACACACACAGATTGGCTCGATAGTTACAAGGGGTATTATTAAAAGTTGATATTTTTCACTGTCGGGGGTGGGCGTTACGTCTCCGAGTATTGACAAATAAAAGAGCATTTTTTTGAAATTAAATCTCGCTTCCTGGCAGCTTTATCGTTTTCGGTGTTGCATATAGATTGACGGATATTTGGGGTTCACGCCCTAGTTGCGCCTCCCCGTAGCCACACCAAAGTGCGTGAGCGCGTGTTCTCTCTCTTACTCTCTCTCTCTCTCCCCTCATAATCCCTCACGTAATCGTCGTGTTTTAATCATTTAATGCACGCCAGCCACTCCAGTCAGGCGCAGTAGCTGTTTATATTTTGGCAAAAGAGAAATCAATATCCGTGCTTAGATAGCTGATTGTTTCTGACGGATAGTGCTACCGATCCTGTGCTTTGTACCAGACTTTTCTTCTAACCCACAGCCGATAGTTTGTCAGAATGTCATAACCATTCTTTGGATGCAATCCTCGGGTCGTTACGAGGTTAATTAATGAGGAGAAAAGCGATGTTAGTGAAGTGCATCATCATGTTTTTTATTAGTCGTGTTGCGAGTTGATTTTCCTACGATCCACACCATTCGCGTACACTCTTTTCTTTCAGTTTAATTTCTACGCTACCTCGCGGTTAAACGAAGAGATTAAGCAACAAATATAGGAGATTACACACCACGTAGACTCCGTATATGGGGGGTTTTCCTTTTCCTATAAATAATTTCACTCTAGGCTCGCACCTGGTGCTCGAACCTTTTGTAGTAGACAATAATCTGACACGGAGGAACAAGCTGTGTGTGTAGAAAGTTTATTGGACGGGCCGTCTGCGGTATTGTCCCCCGTCCTGACTTAGTAGTAATCTCTTTGCCATTGACTGTTATTGGCAACGATTGATCGGCCTTCCAGGACGCCATCTTAATCCTTCTCAGGATAATCCCCACATACATCGCTTCTCCTTTCTTCCCTCGGGTTATGTTCGGTTAAAAACCCCAAAGCCGCTACGTTTCTAACCATCATAAAAGCTTCCATATATTTTATATCCTCGTGTGTGGGGGGGGAGAGGTTGGTTAACGTCTCAGGGATTATATAACTGGCACACACAAACTAGAAGCGTAAACTTATTCTTGAATGACCTAGGATCTTTCCTATACTGTAATTCTTTTCCTACACGTTTCTACTTTAATTAGCAATGTGTCTGTGTGTTTTAAGGAGGGGCACCACGAGGTTTGTGTATACGCTTTAGCTTACTCCCGATGATCCTAGAGTGCTCTACAGTCTTCAGCTTTAATTTAAAGCGCGTGTTTCAGAGATGCAAACCAAGATCCACAACACAGAGGGATTCTTCACGTTGGCACACTACAGAGAGATACTAAACTGATTTAGAATCTTTACTTCTCTCGTATATATTTCTACTTTAATTGATGGTGTTTTGTATGTTTCAAAGAGGTATATGATGAAAGATCTTCGAGAACGTATAGGGGTGTTTGCATTATGCACTTTAGCCTACTCCCGAACGATCGATTCATGTATCCGAAGCATCTCTATTGAAGAAAAGCAAAGCGGGCAAGGATCCCCCGAGAAAGCAAAGCTGTAAACAGTACTGTTTGCCGTGATGGAAAACGTGGTCTGGATACGTAAATATTTTCTGACAACGAAATCGAATTCCACGACACGTTTTGTCACCCCCCTTTCCATATAGGTGAGAAAACGAGCCACCCCCGAAAAAAATCCAGTTTATTTTTATTAAATAGTAAGAAAATAATGACGCTATCATCTCTTGCAAATATTTATTTTTCAGATCGTCTCCATTGTTCATACGCGATGCCGCTATGGTAACAAAACAGCTGTTATCGGATCCTAGGCATGTAAAATTTTCTAAATTTACAGAGTTTAAGCCCGTAAACAATCAGAAATATGTTTTTTAAGATTAATGGTTAAACAAATAGCTCTTGAAACGGTGGAAGACGAGAGGAAGCAGGAAGCACGGGATGACATTTTCCGCTTGCATTCGAACTTGGAATTCTACAGATCGAATTACAGTCGGCTCCTTTACGTTCCCGTTCTTTTTGGAAGTGGACACTTCCCGTCTGGTGAACAGCTTAAGTTTGTTAAAATTATCCATCCCTTCTCTACAACCGTATCTATCACACGGGGGGGGGTCATTCAGAGTCTTAGAAGTGGCACCCCTCCGAGGGAGGCTCCCAGTTTGTGGCTTTGTTTTTTTTTAAGGCTCTGACTTGCGTTAGGGGTTTACTTATCGCATTCTAAACCCCCCGGGTTCGTCCACCACGCTATTTTATGATAATGAGGAGGTCCTTGTAGGAATCCTACAAGGAGCTAGTTAGGAAAGAGCGATAAAGTTATCGAATCGCCTCGGGTATCAGAGTGGGGGTATATCTTTTCGGAAAGAGGATAAGCTACTAGTTTCTTTAGGAGTGTTTAACTTACCGTGCTTCACCCAGGCTGATTCCTGGTTGGACTGATTCCTGTACATCCTTTCTCAGACAACGCCACACATAGGAATGACTGCTCCAATGGGAGAAGGGGTGGAGGTTTATAAAGCCACTCGCTGGCGCCCTCCTGTGACGAAAAATCAGACTTCTCTCGTCTTAAATTAGGTGAAGAGGAGAAGATCGTGAGATGTCTGCTCTTTAACTTAAAAAGCATTACGCCACGATAAAAATTTCATAACCGAAATCTGCATTTCGTGTCCTTTAAAAAAATTTTTGTGCTGGGAAGGAGCTTTAATTGGCTGCGTTATGAGGTAACTACTTTGTTTCTATAGAAGTATTTATGTATATGTAACACTGTAACTTTCATCCCGACCATTAATGTTATAATTTCGTAGGAAAAAAAGGGACCAAAAAAAAAACGGGTAAAGGTCAGTTTAGCCGGAGCATTGGTTGTTTTTTGTGCCGCTTCACTGCCAAAAAAAACTGTGATACCATTGTTCGAGCGTTGAAAAATATGTAAATTCACTAATTAGTATAGATTGGAGGGTATTCGCTTCACACTCGAGCTGTTGACACAGCTTATTTTCATTTTTGACTAGTGGTTGACACGGTTACATTGATCTGTATCGTGACGAATCGCGACGATTTTCAATAACAAAACATTTATCTACTCAGCAATTACATTGTTTTAATGCTCCGACAATTCGTAAATTGTCTAAATAACAATAGAAGAATTGATATTTTCATATCCTCGACGAATTGGGGGGAATGTTTACACGACGATTTGATAAAATTGAGTAAACTTCGACCTCCCCTTTAAATAGGAAGATGCTATTCTAGATCATTTTACGCGGTGTAAGAGGAGAATGAAGACAAATGAGAGCACGTCTGTGTGTCTATAAGATCGAGTCGAAGAGGGAGTCGGAAAAGGGACGCTTTAAACAAACGGCACGCAAAATATTTGTTCTCCCTCTCGACTTGTCGTTTGTCTGGTAGATCAAGCAAATGATGGAGGAGCGTCGTTAGTATCTTGGAACCACTCCAGATGCTCCTAAAACGAATATTTGGTGCGCGGTTTTTATCAATTTGTTTCATTCTTTTTTTATTTTTTTTCCTTTTTTTTAAACTTTACGACTTCTACCAATAAAATTTGATGGTTTCATCTCGGTTATTAACCATCCGGATAATTTAATTGCCATTGGATGTATAGGCTAGTCTCCTCTATCTAACATTATTACTACTAAAAAAAAACGGGGGAGGAGAAATAAGAAGAAGAAGAAGAAGAGGAATTTTTAAAGGTTGTAAGACGTTCCACGTGATTTTTTTCAAAGAAATTTTAATGAACGAATTCCATTCTTGGTCTAAAGAAAAAGTTATGATGTGTAATTGTTACACATATCTGTATCTTAAAGGAATGTAAGCGACAAGATGGGTAAGAAACGAATGCATTTTGATGGAATTTGACAAGCGTATAGAATCTTTTTAAAATTCAAAAGACGTGTCATTCGTCGAGATGAACTGCAAATGAGAAGAGAAATTCGGGAGGAGGAGGAAAAACTATCAAGAAATCGGATTTTTTAAAAATATTTTTCGGCGCGTGTGTTTGTTTGTCTACTCGCAAACAAATTCTTTAATTATATATTTGGCTACTCTATAATCTTCCCCTCTTGTATGAGAATTTATTACTAAGGTAGCATAACGAAAATCTCTCTCTCTCTCTCTCTCTTTAACATTTTTAAGAGTTAAAGCATCGTCTTTGTTTATCGTCTCGTTAAAGTAATGATGGAATAATAATTTAGGTGGAAAATCCATTAAAGTTTTCTGTTGATTAAATTTTTAAAGCGTTCTAATTAATTTTTAAATTTCAAAAAATGTATACAGTATATACAAACACACACACGTGTGTGTCTGTGTATATATAAATATACATTTTTTTTTATTTTTTCTTCCCTCCCTCTCTCTCTCTTTACTTTAAACTATATTATTCTAAATTAAATCGTGTGGAAACGTGCACTTGCTCGTTTAAAATTCGATTAAATTATTTAAGTTTTAGTAACCTTAATGGTATCTTAGTTTTAGTTGAAAGGAGGTGATGATTTTATAATTTTAAACCCCGTTAAAACGTTGCAGATGGGTATGTAGATCCGCATGCAATAATTAGGTTCTTCCTGACAATGGGGAAGAGACCTCGTCTCTGAAGTCACAAGACGTGATTTAATCGGTTGCCGAGCATCATTTATCCAACTTAGGAAACTCGGAGTGGGATGTTACTACCAATTAAACATGGGCTGCCTCTCGCTAATTGAATCCTAGAGGCTACAACACCGGATACTTACTTCCTCTCTTCATCTCTCATTGCTAGCAACAAAAGTTCTGTAGCTTGTATTCCATGCCTAATTTACCTCCAACATACAGATTCTGAATATTTCTATACACCCCCAAATGGTTTTAGTGAGGGGGAGTTTCAGGATTTTCATTAGTTACGATATGACGAATCGCACCCGTTTAATGGGTTTAAGCTTTGCTTAATGGTTACTTATTGCGCTTTTTCGTTAAGGTTTATACGTTAAATTATTCGTTTTTTAAAGTTAAAGTGGATTTTCTCGCGTTTAAATCTCAAATTTGAGGGGGTTTACTGTCGGTAAATGCATGTTTTGTTGGCTTTCACGTCGGAGATTTTGTGGCTGAAATGATGAGAATTTTCGATATTTATAAAGTTTAGGATGATGTTAATCGAGTTAGATACAGAACATTTAAAGTTGGTTATCACAAGAATCGCATTTGGGAACCATTTTGTTGGTTATTCGAGACGATCAAGAATTTTATCAGAAAGAGAAAATTAAATATATCCAGCAATCCACAAGAATTTTAATAATAAGTTCAATCGATTTATCGATCACTCTTAATAGGGAGGAGGAAATGCTTAAAAAGTTATTAACGCGGGAGTTTTTCGAAGTTGATAAAAGAGCAAAAGCTATTTCGGACAATTAAGAGCCCGGTATCGATTGGTAAGAAGAACTTAATAGCATACAGCATGGGGGCAATCTCATTTTGGAAAACCGCAGTATCCATCCAGAAAAGAGTCGAATCCCCCGAAGACATATTGGAAAGTCCGAAAGCGGAAATGAGAAGTGTCAATGGATCACGTGGCCGGGGTGGATTACCTGTTAAATCTCGGGATAGGTGCTGAGGGAGTGGCCAACAATTCTCGGCTTCTGTGACAGATTGGTAGAACCCAAAGTACAGTCCCTCGGGGAACCACTCTGATCCTGCTGCGATGCTTCTTCATTACCATTAGAGAACTTGATGCTGTGTTGCTGGAGGATTTTCTAACCTTCACTCAGATGGATCGTTCTGTCGTCGTTCCCTACTGAAGCTTTTTCACTGGAATTTTTCAAAATTAGGAATTATGTTTACGCTTTAAATTGCTTCAATTTCTTAAAATAAAAAGAAAAAAAGAAGTGGGGGAAACGAAGCTACACTCTAACAATTACTTACCTTATCGAAAATCAATTCTTTGTCTTTACTCACCCCCTCCTTATTTTGTTTAATTTAATTTTTGTTGAAAGTTAAGAATTTTTTTTCTGGGGGTGGACAAAATATTTACTTTAAAGTTCCGCTCTTTCTTGTGTTTTTTTTCTCTCTAACTCCCTATTCGTATGTTTGTTGAAGTAATCTAAGATGTAGAGATGTTTAGTTAAAAATTAATACTGATATAAACACACTTAATTACCAATTAATGCAGATGTTCCTGTTAAGGTTTATATTTAGTTATAACGTTGCAGCTGTTCTCGATTGTAGGAAAGGGAAATTTGGAAAAATTATATTAAAATAATATTTTAAAACTGATGTGAACACAAGAACATTCTGTTTTGATGCTAAAAATAATTAATTTTTTTTCTTTATGTGGATACGTTGCAAAATTCCTATCATCTGCTCTAGAATTGTGGATTAAGTTGTAAGAATTTCTATTTTTAAGAGTGTTTTTATAAATATTTAAACTAGAAATCTCAGTTTTGATTGTAGAAGGTTTCATTAATCCGTATAATCCATGTTCATGGTAGAGGAGAATGTCAGAAGATAGAAAAGGTGTAAATCCACTTTTTCTATTTCCTTACTCCTACCATAAACATAAATTAAAGGGATTAATTAAGAGAGGTAGAAGGTAAGAAGAGTTGTAAGAAGATCTCTCTTACACGCTGTTCTGAAAGGAGGATTTGCATCTCTTCTAACTAAACATAAATTACAAGAATTATCCTCCTCTACCATGAATACCCACTTACGAAATCCACTTCTACCACGTATAAATAATCAAAAATACAGTTAATTATATCGAGTAGTTATGCCGGATAGCCTGTGCACCCTCTCGAGAAGGTAAAGAACCCGATATTTTCTTTAGAAATGTGTTTCTAACACTTCACGTTTCATCTAGAAGTATTTCATAACGCAATTGCAATGCTGCAGCACCCATATTTGAAGATGTTTTTTGGGTCTCCTATCTACTTATAATCCCAATTTTTAATACAGTAATGAGGATATTTAACATTAAAGGCGCCTCTGTCGTTGTTTTACGTGAAAGTAATGCTTTGTATCCGAACGATAAGAATTGATAAAGTAGTTCTTTCTACTTTATCAATTCTTATCGTTCGGCCACTCTTGCGGCCACTGTAGACTTTCCCGAATCGATTGCTTGAGCAAATATACAAGAAATAGGAGGAGTGCTTGTTTGGACGAATTTACAGACACATCCAACATTCCAGCTGACGTCTACAACAACATCTAGTACATACTGCCAGCGGAAATCTTGAGAGAAGTGGTACGTACATATGCAATGAATGTTGGAGTAATGACGCACTCCAATAAATGGAGTAAGCATTCAAGAATAGAAAAAAAAAGAAGCTGCCATTTCAATTTTATTGCAGGCGCATATTTTCTTTGTTGGGCATTTTTTTTTATTTTTATTTTGCCCGAATCTCAAAAGGCCTACTACGTTAAAATAATTTAAGCCCTTTATTTTATGAATTATTGTCGGGATGCGGAGGAGAAGGATGCTTATCTCTACACATATTTTGCATCAGAATATTTAGATACAGTTTAGGAAAACAAATAGGGTAGATTTATAGGGAATTTCCGAAGTGGAATAGCGAGATGAGATTGTTTTGGGTTCCTTTGACATGGCCAAAACAGATTGTTAATACCAGTGTTTCCTAACGTTTTTACTATAGTGGTGCAGGGATGATAAATCGTAGCTCGACGGAACAATCCTGGTCTTCCCTAGAATGGGCCTTTGGCTATAA